TGCCAATGATCAACAGTTGATTATTGAAGACGTCGACTTCTGTAATTCTCACATGTTACTTGTTACAAGGGATGATAAAAAATATGGGCTGTATTCTATTTCTTTACCTCTAAGTATTGATAAGGTAATACAGCTTCAAAATGTTTGACTACATGTCGAATAATATGGAGTTAATGTCTTTTCTTCTGTACATTTTCTGTTGAATGTATTGTACTTTACCATATGGACTATTTGCTTTTATCATTGATCTATCAGTTGCATAAAGATCCGAAACACTATGTTGTGTTTCTAACGATATTGTTTACAGGCAGGAGCTCATCTCAATGAGTTCGATCCAGAAAGTTTGCCTTTGCCAGATCATGTGTCCCAGATACTGCCAGGAGCAAATTATGATTTCTATTCTTCAACCATGCGCTTTACAATAATCTCACCTGTGGTATGTAGATGAACTTTTGCTTCTAGTTCCAGTTCAATACCTTCTTCTACATTCATTTCATTGGTTGTGACTTGTGTCAGTTTTTGAGTTGAGTATATTGATTAATTTTGTTTCAGAAATTAGATCACATGTTTAAAAAACAATATATGTGTACTTTATGTTGTATATGTATTTCCGAATTTAATGTATTAAGCATATTGGTTCAAGGTCTTGGAATCCAATTTCTTCCAAAACTTCTCTACTAAATCAGTCTTCCGTGTCCGCATTAAATGTAGGCTGCCTCTAGGGAACAATAATCAAGGTTTTTCTTGTTGAATACTTCAGTATCAGCTTATTGCCTTTAACTATGTTATTATTGTTATTTCGGGAAACACTAGATAACCCTGAAAGTTTTTACACAATCTCTAGATGATAAAATCTTACTTTTGAAATTTCAGTTAGTTATGGCCTCATTGTAATTGCAATTTTTATTTTTTATTTTTCACAATATCTGAATACCTTTCTGGATGAAATCTTATTAATCCTTGTCCGTCGACTAGATAATGAGTTAAACAGATTGTTTAAAATTTGTTCAAAATCTATTACTCATGTCTCTGACTCTCTGCTATCTTAACTTCATAAAATAATCTGGTCTGGAAAGACTTATCATACCCTTGAGTAGGGATATTTAACGTTGCTTGCTTTGGTGGTGTATTACTGTTATTGTGTATGCATCACTCTCTACCATCACTAGGGGTAATGATTTTGTCTTCATATACGAAAGTTGGACATGCACTATCATATTTATCTTATAATAATACTTACACATGCATTTTATTCTGATTTACTCTCCCCAGATGCCTGATGCAGTTGTTGACTATGATTTATTGAAAGGAAAATGGACCATCGTCCAACAGCAAAATTTGTTTTATGAAAGAACGCGAATTTTATATGGATCATCATCTCCTTTGAGCAGCAGCCAGAAGTTGTCTACACCCGGAAAATTCTCGGACAGTAATGCTGGAGATGATGGCACATGGAATGACCTGTCTGAGTATTATGCTTGTGAAGAATATAATGTCCCTTCACATGATGGGGTTTTGGTTCCTCTGACCATAGTATATTCACGCCGTCGAAAGACAGCTGGGGAAAATCCTGGACTACTTCATGGACATGGAGCTTATGGTGAGATACTCGATAAACGGTGGAAAAACGAGCTGAAAAGCCTTCTTGATCGTGGATGGATCATTGCTTATGCTGATGTTAGGTTTGTTATGCATCTTTTTGTCCTTTAAAATATTCTGTCATGTGAATTGTCCAGAAGCACAATTTTGTGAAATACTTTCTATTTTTTCTTAAACCAATTGGCATCATTATGCAGAATAAAAATAAATGACCCTTATCTGAAAAAAATGATGAGGATTTTTTTTTTCCTTTCTGAGTAATATGTAAAACAATGACTTTAGTTCTTATATCAATAGATCAGAAATGCTCACGTCCACGGTGGACACATGTTAATATGCCCACTGCTGATGTGGCATGCACACATTGGTGATGTTAATATGTTAAAAAAAATACATCACCAATGTGTGCATGCCACATAAGCGGTGGGCATATTAACATGTGTCCACCGTGGGCATGTGAGCATTTCCCATCAATAGATACGTTTAGTATTGTTTATCTGAGTCTAATCTTTTTCTTTTCCAAGAAAAAAATAGATTGGGTGACATTTTTCTTAATCAATTAGATTATTTATTTTGTTAACTGAGTTCAACGTTCGTAATTTCCAGAGGTGGTGGTGGTCGAGGTAAGATGTGGCATCATGGTGGTAGGAGAACAATGAAGCTCAATTCTGTCAAGGATTATATATCGTGTGCTAAGTTTCTAACTGAAAAAGGAGTCGTGCAAGAAAGCAAACTAGCTGGCTGGGGATACAGTGCTGGAGGATTGTTGGTTGCTTCAGCTATTAACTTTTGTCCAGATTTATTTCGGGCTGCTATTTTGGAGGTGGATAAAAATTTACAACAGCTTATGTTATGTGTTTGCTCAACTTAATATTCAATTTATGGGAATCTTTAATATTTGGAGTGTCTCTTGAAAATGTGGAGTGATTATAAACTTTTAATTTACTAATTCTAGTCATTTTCTCCACTACAGCAAGAATTTGGGCATCTAATTTTGTTTAAAATTCTCTCTAATTCGTGTTTAGGTACCATTTTTAGATCCAACCAGTACACTTCTGCTCCCGATTTTACCACTAACACCCGAAGACTATGAGGAGTTTGGGTATCCTGGGGATATTGAAGATTTTCGGGCTATACGTGAATATTCTCCATACGATAATATCCGAAAACACGCACTATATCCTGCCATTTTGGTGACATCATCTTTCAGTACAAGGTAATTCGATCTGATGTTTGTTTAGGCTATTAGTATGGAATTAAGAAAATCAAGTATACGATCTCAAAGTTCAAATATGGACTTGCATTTTTGAAAATTTATGTAATTAAAACTAATTTGTCTTTAATAATATTAATTATGGGACTCTGCATTTACAGTTGCTACCTTTTATTTATTTATTTATTTTTTCTTCAGGTTTGGGGTCTGGGAATCAGCAAAATGGGTCGCACGAGTTAGGGAATATTCTATTCACGACCCTATGCGCCCAGTACTTCTCAGTTTAACAACCGATATAATTGAGGAAAACAGATATCTGCAAAGCAAAGAATCAGCACTCAAAACAGCTTTTCTCATTAAGACTGTGGATTCCTAATCACAATCAAAGGTAAACAAAACAAGCTACATTGCTTGATCTTTCATCTATTCCTCAGGAGGTTTGCCCATATTTGACTTGTCTATTTTCCTCCGAGCACAATCACAACTTTTTCTTCTGGAATGGAATTTGACCTAATCAACTGCTTTTGCATGCACACCATGCATTGGAAGATGGAAAGTAGTATCTTTTTGCACGCACGGTTTTGTTTAGTTTGACGTAGCTTTTCCTTTTGTTCAGTCAAAGTTTGTTCTCTTTTTCGCTACACCAAACAACCGTTAAAAGTGCCCCCACTGAAATGGCTATGTAAAAAAAGGTCACAGTAATTATGTTGAGTCACTTTACAATCCATTATTCCACTGGTATTGCTTCTGCATCTTTAATTTATGATTGAAACAATTGATATAGCAAATTCTGAACTTTCCTTTTTCATGGAATTGACTGGTGAATGATTTTGTCAAATGGAAAAGTCCCTTTTCCTTTTTGTTTTTCTTTAGTGCTTTCTTTATTTCCACCTTTTTTGGTATGATGAGCTAGAATTGCAATTTTTTGTGGTGATGGAGAAGATTGTCCTGTGTACCTTGATTGATCTTTTTCTATTGTTTTGTTTGTTATGTAGAGGAAAAGTTAAGGTTAAATCATGATTTGCATGACATGAAAAGAATGAAATAGTGGAGATTTTACTCTTTTGAAGCTCTCATGGAAGGCAGAATGTACAAAACACCCGAATAAAAGAAAAAACTCATAAAGAAAAGTTTGGTATAATCATTCAACAATTGAAAAAAATAAATTTTTTCCATGGCAAACAATATTAAATGGTGTCAGTGGCCCAGATATCAATAATCACTAAATCAGGCAGGTAGCTCTTTCCTCTTCAATTTCATATTATATTTGGGCATAAAATTTATTTTTTAATAAAATATAAAGTTAGAGACCCATTGTATTTGCATTGGAATGTTTTGGTTATTTTTACTTATTATTCATGTTATTCAAGACTAGGTTCATTGTTATGATGTAAGAAAAATTAGACCTTCGCATTGGAATGTTTTGTTGGGGACTGACAATAATTATTATTTTTAGGCTGACTAACAATTAGTTAGTCATACTTGATTATGAAACATGGATACTTATCCTATGAAATGTTATGCTTTTATTTATGTCATGACATACATGTGTTAGAAGAGTGGCATTAGGAAGCCTAACAGATTTTTTTTACGTTATAATAAGTTGCAACCAAGTTATTTTTCTGAATTGAATTCTCCTTTTTTTTCTTTATCTTTTTATGATTTTAGTAAATAGGGAGCTCAGCAAAACAGGTCTAAGAAGACCCAAACCACGAGCAGCACAAATGACAAAATTGGCTCATCTGAATTCAAGCAGGGTAGAAGTCCAACTGAAATAGAGCAGAAGGAAGTTCTTCACGGAAGAAGAAAACATTTTTTGCTCATCCCGTTCTGACTTCAATATGTTTTCGACCCGTGATTCCTATCAGCAAATAATCTCGAAAGGGTGATTATGTAGAACTTTTTATGAATTTGAAAGGATTTTTGTATGAATTTGACAACTTATTCAATTGAGTTTGCCCTGCAACATCTAATCTGCAAAAAAGTAATGCATTTGTTGCTTCACGATCAACCTCAAGCACACACAAAACAGAATTTAAGATAAAAATGTACAATAAATTGCAGCACCAAAACAATCAAATAAAGATGGACCCTTTATACATCACAAGGCACCTTAATCAACACCCTCAGGGGATTCATTGATTCTACACTCACTTTAATCCTTCAAAGAAACACTAGCTATCTGAAATCATACNTAAACATCATCGAAATTCGTCAAGAAGCTAAGCGAAGCCGTAACAACCTCAACTCTCACAAACCCCCCACTCTTTCCACCATCATTCCTCCCATTTTCCATCGGCTTGCAAAGTGTAGTATCATCAATGCCTCGGTAATGCTGATTCTTAGGACTATCCAAAATCCGAATATGGCTCAAAATCCCAACCCCAAGAGATATACCGTTCGACTCAGCCAGCTTCTGCACAATCTCTGGGCTAATCAACCCTCGATTATTCCTATCCCTCACGTTGAAAGCCACTGCTGCCCCTCGCTCGTATTTTATCTTCGGGCCGTAGATATGGACAAGTGGGGCCCGCTCTTTACCGTTCGGGCCCAATGGCAATCTCAACTGCAGCAAAGAAGTGACGAGCCAGTTGATCAAGAATCGGAGTCGAGAAGTCGTCTTGTTGAGGCCCAGCATGTTTATGTGGTCCAGGTGGCGGCAGATTATCTCGGGCTCACCTCTATCCGAATCCTGACCGTCCACATCATCATATTCGCCGTTGCTTACATAATCATCCTCATCACCACCGGATAATAATTCGCCACCTGGCTCGAGAGATGTAGTGAGATCATTATTATGATGACCTTTACGGTGAGGGTTATAATCCTCCGTGCTAAATGACACCCTTCGCCCTTTGCTCCCGTGCCTTTCGTTCTCGTCAATTCCGAAAAATCTCCCGCCGCCGGCAATTCGACTTCTTTCCCGCCTCTCGAGTAGCCTAAACTCACCCTCCGTCTCTCGTCTAATCGCGCTTTCTTTCTCGAGGCACGTGACTGAACTATTAACCAATTTGCCGCTAATTTCGGGCCCTTCTTCTTCGATTTCGTGAAAATACCGATTATTATCCTCTTCCGGCGTCCCACTAGGCCCGGGAATCTCGTCAAACTGTTCTTCTTCCTCGGGGATTTCTTTAAAATGGTCCGATTCATGAGAAACCGACCGAACAGCAGCATCGAACGACAATACGTTAGGCTCATCATGACAGGCCGAATTCAGATCCTTGTCAAATATCGGGCCAACTTTTGGAGAGTTTAGCTTATTATTATTATTATTCTTGCGGCCCGTGAACCAAGCGGGTGGCAATGGAGAAGAGAGAAGGCCGCCCTTGTGTTTATTATTATTCGAATGGCCCGCTTCGTCAGAGCCCAATGGGCTCTGGCCCAAATCTATCCACAACGAGTTATCCGACGATTCGTCTTCACTGAAAACCGGGCTTTTGATAAGCTCACCCACGGATATACTCTCAGTTTCTTCGAATACAGTGCTCGCCCCATCTCTATCCGAACAGTTATCGTGCTCCATCTCGGTTTCGAACACATCCCTCACTTGAGCAGAAGTGAAAGCGCCGGAAAAGGCCGGTAATTGCGAAACGGGCCGGGCTTTTTCGGAATTCATGTCGCTATTTCGACTCGCTTCTTCTTCTTCTGTATTTTCGCCAAACCCCGGGAAATTATCCATCGAGTCACTCAAATACATTGGAAAAACGGGCGTGATTTTGACTATACCCGAGCCCGCATGGCCCGAACGATTCTGCAGGCTCGACATAACAGATTTCTTGATCAGAAGGCACCCGAATCCAGTTGGGTCGTAACCAAACACTCTGTAGAACGAAGTGATGATGAAATCGGGCCGAAATAAAGAAAGCCCGAGAGAGTCCATGTCTTTCGGGCCCAACGCTCCAGCATCAAGCAAAACATGCCAATTGTTCTGTTGGGCCAAAGCCATCCATTGGTAGGAATACTTTGCACCGCTAACCCTCGACTGAACGGGAAAAACAAAAAGGCCCGTTGCATGATCTTTCTTTCTTCTCTTCTTGTTCGATATTTGCTTCCTCAGATCAGTCGAGCAGAGTTTCAAAGTCGGCCATTTGAACCACGCGCTCTGAACTTTCGCCCCTTTCTCCCGAGCACTCTGAGCCATCCAGTTAACCGACTGGCTCTCATGATCGAACATTGTTAACAGTCTCTTGTTCGTGTGAAAAGGGTACGACTCGGCCAGAAGCTTAAAAGCCGAGCCACGGCTTACGGTGAAAACGAGCCCGTATTCATTTTCAGGGATGTTTAAATAATCCATTATTCGGGCTTTTATATCGTGCTCGACTGTTCCTTTCTCGGCTCCTCCGTACAAAGCGTGATTACTCAAATTGGCAGTTATCTCAGATAAACTAAATGTGGATGACTCCCAATAATGCATAGTTTGAAGCAAAGAAAAGAGACCAAACCCACAGTAATCGAGGCATACCTTCGAATCGGAGGCTAATAAGTGCGAGTACTCGTCTGATCTCAAATGATCGATTTTTTCAGACGACTGGTATTTCGGGTACATTGTGAGAAACTTTGAAAATGCCTCGTTAAGAGCCGGGATCGAGTTGTGGGACTCGAATATTCTCTCGGCAGCTAAAGCAGTGGCCTTTAGGAATTCTTTCTGGGCATTGAGTCGGGCCAGGGATCGGGATCGGCCCAAGCTGTCATCTTGATTTGTTAACAAATCTGAGTCGACATCTTGGGATTTAAAGAGGGACCCATCTTCAGAAGCTTCCTCAAGAGCCTCTCTCAGCTTGTGTTCTTGCAATTTTCGGAGAATTGAAGGGTTGGGTTTGATTTCGTCAGACGAGTGTTCTGAACCGTATTTTCGCCGGCTCTTCTTGTCGAGGAGTAAAGCAGCACAGTGAGAGAGTGGTTTCCATAGAGAGAGATGCATTAAAGCTTCCTTTTCTTTTTATTTTTTCTTTTCTTTCTCCTTATTCACTCGCAGGTGTTCGGAAAACAAGAATTGGTCTGAGAAAGAGAAAAAAATTACTATGGTCAAGAAGATGAATAGAATTGAAAAATTAAAGGAAGGGAGGAGCTTTGTTTTCTTTATTTTTTTTTTTTCTTTTTCTGTTTCTTTTTTCTGGGTTTAGCTAGCCCATTATCAATTCAAACCCTAAAGACCGGTAAAGCGAAAAAAAGAAACGAAAGGAGAGAAAAGAAAGCTCCTTCAAGAATAAAACTTTGCTTTGGAGAATTAAAGGACCTGTTGAGTTTGCCTTATGCGGACATTCAAACGCGATGAACAATTTTTTTAGTTGAGATGAAGAGTGAACAAAGAAAAGAGAAGGAAAAAAAAAAATGCTCCGGACCAGATAAAACCTAGATTCCGGTGAAATTCGGCAATGGGGAGAACAAACACAGAAAAAAATCAAGGCCCAAGTTCACAATGATACTTTTTGTCAAGAAAAGAACCCCAGAAAACTCAGATCCCAGGAGATAAACAAAACCAATAGCAGGACGTTTTGTCAAGAAAATCAAGAACTTCTCTCTAACAATTGAACTATAAAATTAAACAAGTAACAAAGGAAAAATTGGCAAATTCCTCACAGGGTCACGGTTTTTGTAGATCAAAGAAAAAGCCCTCCTCCCACTTTTTATTGAACCGGCTTCAAAAGCTCTGAGCTTTCACTTCTCTCTCTCCTCATATCTCTCTCTCTCTCCCTCTCTGCGCCCTTCTGCAAGCCAATTTAATGCACATTTATTTCAGTTGTGAACCCAGAAACATACCCCTTTCATTACCCATCGCCCCCCACTGTTACTTTCTCTCTCTATCTTCTCTCTGCAAATCGTTGTTTCTCTCTCTACTCTCTCATTCGACAATTAACCCTGAGAGTGGGCTAATAAAGAGGGGTTATTTGTGGAATTTACGCTTTTGCCTTTAATCAAAAACAGTGAAGGAAAAATTTAACGTTTGACTTTCACTACCATCCACGATGATGAAGATGAGTTTGATTCTTGATTCTGTTTTTAGTTATTTATCGAAATCTTGGATTAAGAGTTTTTATTGGATTCTTGATTAGTAAATTTATTTTTTCAGGGTGGGGCCCTACCATTTACAGCTCAAGACCTTTTGTTCTACTTCTAGCAGTCCTCATGGCCCAAAGTCAAATAATCAGCTGACTTGTTTGTTGAACCTATTTTCTATCAAGCTCACTTAGACCTAACCTAACGGGGTAATTATACATATTTTTTATTTAATAAATATTTGTACTTTCAAACAGAACTATTATATTTTAAAACATAAATATAAATACAAAAGTATGGTTATTCTATCCTCGCGGACCATGATCATGTGATCGAATTTTTTTTTTTTTTGTCAAACGATAGATAAAATTACACTCAACGAGATAAAACGTCATACAAACTGTGATCCACTGATCACATTAAATGGCTAGACAAAGCTATAACTAACTAGCCAAAACACCATGGCCAATTAGAAAAATCGAGTCAAGAGCTTTGAAATGGTGTATGATTTGTTGAAACCCGCAGTAAATGGGTGACGAGCGGTGGCAAACAATGTGGTCGGCGGCAGCAGGTGGCTATTACGCTTTTAATTTAATAGTCTCATTTTTCAATTATTTTAATTTTTTTTGTACATGGGGTTAAAATTAAATACAATTTTAATTTATGAATTAAAATAAATTATAAATTAACTTAAAATAAAGGTATAATAGTTTTTCCCCATGTGTAGTCACAATATTTTTTTTCCTTGTACATTAAATGTATAGTTCAGATTGATGTTTAGTGCAATTTAACGGTAAGATGAGGGGTCTATTGTGATAAGATAAGTCCGAGAGTTACTAACTGTATAAAGACCAATAAAAATATTGCATTTTATAGTATAAATATGTTCTTTTGTTAAATAAGTATTTTGTTAAAAATTTATGAAGGATCGATCCGTCTAGTGATTTGGCCAATTTACGCTAGAAATTTATGTTCACTTTTAGATCTATTTACTAAGTATGAAGGGAAGAGGTTAGTAGATTACATAAATAATGGTAATTTATACTCACTCTAATTATTTTTATAAAAGATATTAGAGAAACGACAATTCATATCTTAACATCATTTTATATTGAATCTTCTTAAATCATTTATTTACACTGTTACTAACGAATAGCTCTTACTTTAATTTTTAATTTAATTATTTTGTTTATTTTTATAATTTAATAATTCTCTTTTCACATTTTAAATACTCTTATACTGTAGCTGTAAAGTAATCTAAAATAATAAATAATTAAAAATAAAAAATTCTATTTGACAACACTTATAGTAAAAAGATGTAATGTAATTTATGTAATGGTGAAAACTAACACGAACCAATAGACTTTGCTTAGATCTCAATGTTTAAAATTATCACAAATATCAATGTCAATTGAAAACAACTACACGTATTATGTAAGCACATTCCATGCAATATAAATAAACATACAAAAGTCAAATTTAATTATCTAATTGTTTCCACAAGGTTCATGTTAGTTAAATTAAACATTATGTCGATCTCTGGCATCTTTTTTATCATTGTATGGCTATCCTTTAAGAAAAATAAATTGATTAATATAGAAAAAAAAATGAAATATCAATTACAAAATTGAGTAGCGAGGGATATATTTTTCTCAACATACCTATTGCTGCCGGTTCCAAATCTAAACCGAATAGGTTCCTGAACCGGAAATTTATATTCTTGGGCCGGTTCAATTTGAAAATTTAAAGCCCGTTGACCATATTTATATATGTCGTTCATAACAAATTGATAAAGCATAAAAAATTACGAAATTCTAATATTAATTTGTTATAGAGTCAGAAAGGTACTTAAAAGATTTGTTGCAAATTGTACTATACCAATTTTTGAACTTTTCAACCTATAATATTTTTTTAGTAAAATGCAATATGAATTTAATAAAAGAATATAATATACAATCTCTCGTATATCTTTACCATATAATCGTCCGGAAAAATGAATATGTGCATGGTCAAAATGTAAAAAGATTGCAAATTATAAATGTTCATTAAGATCAAATTACATGTTACCAAAAAGAAAATATTATATGTTACATAGTAAAAAATAACACATAGATACAAGTTGCGAATAATATTTATTTCGATCCTTTTGCAGGTGTGCTTCCGGTAGATGTTTATACTTTATACCCCTCGGCCCTGTTTGGTAGATAGCGGATTGAAGATAAATTAGCGGATTAGACTTAATTGAGAGTTTTGACCCGTCAAATTCGCTATTAAGCTTGTTTGGTAAATACTTATTTGATAAGTTTTTTGGGCCCAAAACTCTAATTTAAAAAAAACTCATTAGAGCAGCTTTTTAGGATAGAGGATTCACAATTGAGAGGTTTTACTTAGAACTTTTTAATTTGTCTTATTTATTTTACAATCTACATTGGTTTATAGAGCTAATAAATAATAATATGTTATCCATATGATTAATTTATCTAGAAAAATATAAAATTTATAACTTCTTCATCAAGTGTTAGTAAATTTTAAAAATATATATATATATTTATAAATTATCAACTAAAGAATATTAAATGTTTTAATATATTATTATTAAAATAATACACCTTAAATAATAAAATATTCTTATTGGTCATTTTGCAATGTCAAACAGTTATAAGCTTTCAGCTATTTACCAAACACTTATTTAAAAACCGCTAATGCAATCTGTTGGTCAAATCAGCTAATATAATCCGCTATTCGCTATCCGCTATCTGTTATCCGTTAATCGCCAAACAAGACCAACATTTATATAATATTTTGATAACTGATATGACAAGTATACATGAACATTGGCAAAAACTTAATCAAATAATGTTATTAAATATAGGCCAAAAGTGTTGTGTGGTTGCGTAACTTGATTTGTTTATTTTAGTCAACCTTTACCAATTTTCAAGGATTTTTATATTCTCAAGAGAAAAATAGACAACTAAATTGTTGTAGTTATTAAAACACAAACAGTAGTATATAAAGTGACATTTTCTATTTCAAAAAAAAAAATAAAAAAAAATGGTGGGATGCTCCAAGATTTGCTATCACATTTTTAATTGAACTTTCATGTAATTTTCTGTTGAGTTCTTCATCTAAAATATTTAAACCTGTTAACATCAAAAGGGCATGCAGTTTATGTATCAGGCACGCTTTGCATCATTCTCTTCGAAGATTTTGTTTATTACCGATTGCTAATACTTTATATCCCATAAATACATATATGTCTGTCATATATTAATTAATAACAACATACTCTAGAATAATCATAAATTATAGTTAGCAGGGTGTAAGTATTTCTTTGACATTTAAATGATATTTTATTTTTTAAATTCAAGATATTTTTTTTNAATTCTAAGCGTGAATGTGGAATTTGATATGAGATTTCGTAAACATTTTATCTTTTAAATATCACTAAATTTCAAAGATTCAAAACAATAAGTTCAAGGGATAAATAAATTGAATACTTCTTGATTTTACAAAAATTATAATAAAACCTCAATTAAAAATGTTTTAATTTTTTTTGAAAAATCCAAACTAAATAATCATACGTTTAAGAATAGAGAATGAATTAATAAATTAATATTAATTTTTTCATGAATCATCATTAACAAGGAACCAACTAAATCCACCTAATCCTTAAAAAAATTTGGCGAATTATTAATAGTACACAAGGTTTAAAATAGGAGACTGCATAGTGGGCCAGCTAGACACAAGGTTTTTAAAATACAATTTAATAGATTAATCTATACTTTTATGCAGGTGATAACCATTGAGTATCTGATTGACACTAAATTTAATCAAACCATTTTCTATTGTACAATTAATTTTTTTCTCTCGTTAGTTATGTACGTGTTGCAGAACATCTACAATACATTGGATCTAGTTTTGTTTATGTGGCATGTAAATAAATTAAGTATTGGATGACATGGATAAACCTATCTAAAATTAACAAAATTCACTGCAATGCAAAGAGACTAGGTCTTTACTTGGGTCTAAAATAGACTTAAAGGTAGACCGAGTTTTTTTTCTGGCTGCCACATCAGCCGGACTCAATCTACTTTTATTTGCATTGTAGAATATATTTTTTTAGATTGAGTCTATTTTTTAGGTGACATATAATTTTTTGGAATTAAACCCAAAGCATTGTTGATGCAGTTGGTTGGATGGTTCATGGCGCAAGAACCGAGAAAATATAAAGACCACAAGAAAAGTAAAGGGGAAAGACAATTATGTAACTCGATTTCAAATTTTCAATTTTAACCTTTTTAAGGTGTAAAAAGTTTCATTATTTATTTAATTTTTCAAAGTGTCATTGGCTTAATGCAATTCACCCCACAAATAAGTGAAGCTAACTATTAAACTAACATATTTATTTTACAAGTATCTATATTTTCATTAGAAAATGCCATTCTTTTAATAAAAATAACATAAACATAAGGATTAGACTAACATATTTACTTCAACGTAAAAAGTTTCATTCTTGATTTAGTTTTTCAACGTGTCATTGGCTTAATGCAATTCACCTCGCAGAAAAGTGAAGCTAATTCTATTAGGGCTCATTTGTTTCTTAGGATGAGATTAGACTAAATTAATCCGGTGTGGTAGACTAACATATTTATTTTACAAATATTTATATTTTTATTAAAAAAATGTCATTCTTTACAAAATATTATAAATATAATTATGATATTTGATAATTTAAGTATGTATTTTTTATTTAAAGAGTATGACGGGGATCTATCCGTCTAACAGTTAGTCAGCCTCCCACAGGATTTACTATTTGTCTAAAACATGTCTTACACGCTATGTGGAAGTATAACGAAGAAGATAAATAAATTATGGGACAAGCGAAAAGGTTAGTATATGATCCAAAATTATACATTAAAAAAATTATATATATTTGTATGAGACAGTTTAATCATTAAATGAGTCGATCGTCATGCTTTTTTTCTTTTAACAAAAAAAATTGCATATTTATGCTTTGAAAGCCATATTTTGTTTATGTTATTCTCATAGTACTACAATTCAATTTAAAGATACGTACATGTTGAAAAAATATTGGCTATATAGCTGATAGAACTGTCTAACAACAATCTTATTGAAAGAAGAAAATTCATAATTACTTCGATGATTACATATTTTTGTTCATAAGTATAAATAAAATAATTCTTCAGTTAATTAAATTATCATGATCTCTTGAATATAGTTAGTGATTCATATGTGAGTTAGTTTATATATATTGTTCATTTTTCCTAATGGTCATAATTTTAAAATGTGATATAATCATGATCTAATAGAGTAGCAGTGAAGTGGTTGGGTAGGTTTCTATGTTTGGGGACCAATAATAAACTGAAACATTACAACAGTCATTTTATACCATCACAAAAGGGAATTGAACACACATAAAATAATTTGCAGTAAAAAAAGAAGAAGAAAGGTTAAAAATGAAGCTAGTGCAGAAAGGTGAAATTATTATCATCCACCCAAACAAGGCAAATTCATTATTTTTTACATGTTTAAGTCAATCACGTACACGACATGTATTTTTTTATATATATATATAATTTGAATATTTTACGAATTAAATTGTAAATTGTGTTGGCAAGTTTTTTTAAGTGATGCATATGCAATTAATTATGCGACTCTTTTTGTATATATCCCAGTCATTTTCAGTAAGTTGGCCAGTAATAAATGCACCTCATGTGGTCGTTTATCTCATTTATTTAAACATCAGGAGGTTGTGAATTGCAATGGCATGCATCCTATGATTAATTTAAGACAATTTCATAAACCAATCCTAGCTTTCTAAATTCATGGTGATTTTATGTTTTACAAACATCATCAATTCTAATTTTTTTTTAAATATATATGCATACTTTCAAACTAAAATGTCATACTAAAAAAATTGTAAATAAAATTTTGACATTTCGTACTATATTAATAAACAGTATGACGGTTTGACGTGTCTATTTCACATTATAAAAATATACGTTTTTGTTTAAAAAGTATGATAAATTGACTTACCCATCCGTTGAATTAGACCACTGACCAACAAAAATTTGTATACCTGAGGTCTAAAATTTGCTATAAAAATTCCGTTTTAATTATTTGACAGATATAAAATAAAATGATGTGTAAGCATATAAATTGTTAATTCTAAATATGATATGAAGAGTAAAACAAGAAGATTATTTGTATTATGTCGTAATATATGTGATTCATTATGTTTATATAACATGCCTATTTTATTATAAATGAAAGTAACATAAATCGGTTTAATAATTATAATATATATGCATGTCACTAAAGAATTATTTATTAATTGTTCATCATGTGAGTCAGTAAATTATAACAGCACTTCATGTGCTAAATTTTGTGGAGGAATAAAATCATGCACAAAATTAAATTCGATGGAAATATTTGAACTCCAAAAGCCATCGTGTTGACAAAAGACAATTTACCAAATCTTTTAGGAAAAAAAGAGGGCCAAGAAAATGCCAACATAAATTAACAGGTCGTATCCAGATATATTAGCATCCGCAACCACACATTTACGTACGTAAGATGTATGAATAAATTCTTACAGTTGATTAATGTCTAGCTAATTTTATTTATGAAATTTCAAGCATCGATATATAATAACCAAACGTTATTAAATTGGTACAAACTTNTGAGGAATAAATTTGGTTTCACACATGGATTATATAGGTTGAACAAATATTGTACTTTGAAAGGGCTAGCTTTGGGTGCTTTATGTCAATTTGAATTTGAACCAACTCCATTTTGTGTATAATTGAGGAGAAGGTGGATCCTTTTTCTGAACGAGTGCCTTTTGCTTTGGGGTGGGTCATCTTTCATATCCTCACTTTTGGTAGATCACAAATTCTTATTTGAGTCCGTCTAATCATTAGACAGGTCCACTGGTCATACGTTTTTAACAAAAACCCATGCATTTATGCTATTAAATGTCATAATCTTGTTTTTCTGTAGTTTTCTACAATATGACATTGCAGTATAAAAATATGTCTGATGAAAATGTATAATTGTCTAACCATTATCTGCATAACATTAGTTTTTATGTTTTAGTGACATAAATCATTGTGAGATGCATTCTATCAAAATACCATTCCTTCTTTCTCCTTTTTGTACTTTTATTTCTAAAAATGCAAACTTAATGCATAAGCAAATTTTCAAGCTAAAGATAAACCAGTCTATTATGAAACGGACAAAGCAGACAATATATCATCAACAAACATGCTAAAACATTACATGTGCAAATACAGCAACTAATCCTGGGACTAAAAGATGTTCATGTGCAACTGCACTTTTGGAATTGTCTGAATTAGGCCTTTCAAATACGGACTTTCTCGAGAAAGTCTAAAAACCGCGCATTCTAAACGTCACATGTCAAAATAACCTTCTAAGCACGAATAGTATTTTCTTTTTTTTTCGAATGGGTTCCCAAAAATATTACCTTTTTACCTTACAGAAGGATTCGTGCAGCATTTATAGAGAGGTTGATCAAAAAGTATATCATCCCTTAATCTTTTAAGCCCTTCTTCGCATTTTCAGTCGACTGGCAATACTGTCCACATCAGCAAGCTTATACGATTTATCTCCACTTTTTGCACTTTTTTCGCGTTCAGAAAGATCATACCCGATTTCACTATCCTTGCCTTTCTTCTCAAGAGATTTAGGAGGTATTGTATCTTTAAGGCATTCATTGGGCTCGGTTAGCAAAGGCTGATGATCATTCAAGGGCTCTTCCGTAATTTTCATCTCTGTGCCGCCATTCTCCTCTGGCTCACGAGTGACCAAAAAATCAGCCATTGTGTTAAGGGCACTTTCGACTTTAGTTTCCTCAACGTCTGAAAAGGGCAGAGACCTCTTTGCTGATGTGACGACTGCATTTTTGTCTGAAACGGTGTCCGAATGACGCGTTTGGATGAGATAATGCGCCACGGATTTGTAGCCAAGACTTGAAATCTGAAAAGATGACGAAATTTATGAGTTGTTTGTAGAAGAAGATAATCTGAAGGCATTTATTAATTTGATTAGTGTTTGTGTGTGTATATATATATACCTTTCGGTAAAGAATCCCAGTTGGGGCCCACCCTTTTGCCTGCCGGCACAAACTGCAGTTGCAAATCCCACGGCAAACTGGGCAAATCCAGTTTGGATTTTCATTGGCTTCGAGCACATTCTCCCCATATCTGCAAGAAAGTTTTAGTTTTTATGAAATGATGTTTCATTTGGATTTATAATACCTACAACTATTATTATTATTCTTATAAATACTATTAGAAGTAAACCAAATGATATGCCTTTCATATCCGGATTTATAATACCTCATGTATAAGCAATCGCCACAGAACTGCCCTTGAACCATGCTGCATTTGCTGCAGTGCGTACGAAAACCTAGAGTTTTTTGCCTGGAACAGAGTAAGGCGGGATTAAGCGTGCAACACATAGAGCTAAAAGAAAAAAATAAAAGTCAAGCAAGAGTTAATGCATATCAACCAAGAATATATTAGATTATTATGGAAATCGAAATCCAACAGCTGAATGGCAAAGTTTTTGAAAGAAAGTTCTCAATATGTTCATCACTTGAACGTAAAGTCTAGTCAAGTTAAGAAGGAAAGATCAGAAATCTGAACCTTATTCAGAAAAAATAATAAAAAGAGTAACGTGAGGAAAGGGATGATAATTGATACCGACCTGCATTGATGGCACGTTTTCCCCTTAACCGGATCATAAATTCGCTTTCCATCTTTCCCATATCCATCGACAAAAAGAGTCCAACTTTTTTCAGAGCTTCCCAGCAATTTTTCGTGTTCTTCGGTGTAAAGTTCAGGTTTTGATCCTTCTTCTCTCAGAAAGTCCTTGCCATGTAAGGGCTTTTCTTTCTGTGTCACACGCACTTCACAGTAGCTAACAGGAGTTGAGTTATGTAGCCTATGGCACCACCAAATGAAAAAATAAGACAAAACTTGATGTAAAAGGTCCATCTTTTTTTTTAACGGGAGACAGTAAAGACCAATCGTATTTGATATAATATCACATTTTTAGCTCAAATAAATGCTTGCAAGCTCTAGAAAAAGTGATTCTGAGCATTTCTTTACAGAAAAGACTCGTCTTTTAGGATTCGGAAGAACTTACATGTCAAGGTATATAAATATCAGAAAAGGCTGAAGGAAATGCTAAGAAGCTAAATCATCACTGAGATAAATCAATCAAAACTCCAAGCAAACGTATAGCTAACAAAAATTGCTACGAGATCCAAAAGCCATGAGCCAATCAGTAACAACATGCGACTTGAAAAAATAAAATCCATCTTTTCTTTTTTACGGATGACAGTAAAGAAAAACCGTATTTGATACAATATCACCATTTTAGCTCAAAGGGATGCTTGCAAGCTCAAGAAAAAGTGATTCTAAGCTTCTCTTTAGAACAAAAGACTTGTCTTTTACAGTTTTGAAGTACTTTCTAAATGTCAGAAGACACTCAAGAAAACACTAAGAAGCTAAACCCTTGCTGAGATAAGTCGGTCGAAATTCCCAGCAAACGAATAAAATACAATAGGTAACAAAAATTGCTACACGACAGTGAACAAGGTCAAAATTTCACAAAATTCCATTTCCTAGTTGCCTAGAACCATATCAATCATCTAAATCCGGAACCAACAAGAACTTACTCAACTAAAAAACGGAAAGAAGAATCCATCATTTTTTATGGGATACAGTAAAGACCAACCATATTGAATATAATATCACTATTTAAGCTCAAAGGAATGATAACAAGCTAATGAAAAAGTGATTCTAAGCTTCTCTTTAAAGAAAGACTCAGATTTTTAGATTTTGGAAACACTATAAAGTGTCAGGAAACACTAAGAAACTAAACCCTTGCTGAGATAAGGCAGTCGAAATTCCCAGCAAAAGAACAAAACACAGTAGCTAACAAAAATCGCTACATGACAGTGAACAATATCCAAAACCCACAAAACGCCACACTTTTCCGGTACATAGAACGATATCAATCATCTAAATCCGGAACCAACAAAAACTTACTCAACTAGAAAAATGGACAAGAAAAAATCCATCTTTTTTTTGCAGGTAACAGAAAAGACCAACCGTATTTAATATAATATCACCATTTTAGCTCAAGAAATGCTTGCAAGCTCAAGAAAAAATGATTCTAAGCTTCTCTGTAGAGAAAGATTGGTTTTCTAGAGTTTGGAAACACTCTCTAAAATGTCAGGAAACGCTAAGAAGCTAAATCCTTGCTGAGATAAGTACTCAGTCGAAATTCCCGGCAAACGAATAAAATACAATAGATAACAAAAATCGCTACACGACAGTGAACAAGATCCAAAACCCACAAAACGGCACGCTTTCCCAGTTACATTAACCGTATCAATCATCTGAAGCCTGAACCAACAAAAGCATACTGAACTAAAAAAAACAGGACAAAAAAAAAACTGAAATTCGAAAATGAAGCAAGCTAAAGAACCTGGACGAGCGCCGGATGGGGCCAGGAGGAGGCAAAGGAGACTGGTCCAGTGGGTATTTTCTCTGATAAGCTCGCTTTGGAGTGGACTTGAGAGCATTGAGTTTAAGGGAAAGGTCGACAAGCCCTAGCTTCTGCATTCTCTCTCGATTTTCCTTTATCCTTTCTTCTCTCGTGAGCTCGTACGCCGACTTATTGTGGTCGGAAAGACCCTTTTGCTCCATAGTGTGCTGTTTCGATTGTTCTCCGTCGGCGGCGATGTTTTCCGGCGGTATATTGTCCATAGTCACCATTTTTGCGGCTTGGAAATGGTTATAGGGCTCTCAACGGTCAAAAATCAGAATTGATGTGATTAGTGCGTTTTTTATGGGGTGTGGTGACAGATTTTGAAATATTACTATTTGGGGCTTCAAATTTGAGTATATTGCCTTCGACCGCAAAGATAAATTGAATCTGTCTACCTACAAATCTGATGCCGACGAGAGTGCGTTGATATTTCTCGATACATATGATCGCCTCCGACCTTTAGTATGATTATTATTATTATTTAGTTTATGTTTATTTATGTTATGTTTGGGCTTTTATTATGTTGTAGGGATTATTATGTTGGGCTTTTTTATTAATAATGGATAGGATTTTTATGTATGGTTTAAAAACAGTCGTGTAGCTCATGTACGGGCAATTATCATTTTATCAGACATGGAAAATTGGAAAAACTGTTCTGTGTGTTCTTTATTGTCTATGATCTTCCCATCACTTGCTTTCCTGATACATCAGAATCTCTTTTTATTTGAATTTTTTTATATATAAGAAAATTATTATAAATATTAATTATGGTTTATTTTTGTTAGTAATTATTAAATTGTATTACTTTTTCACGATAACTCATTTATAAAGGATTTGTTTATATTATCGTATTCTACAACAGAAAAGTTTAGAAAAATGGTAANTGGGTTATGCTAAAAGGCTAAAAGGCGAACAAGATGAACAGACATTATGTTTTGGGCTTCGAGAGCTGAATTGTTTTGGGCTTTTAATGGGAGAAAATAAGCAGTTGGCCTATTAATTTTTACTCTGTTTTCACATTTACAAAATTTTATTTTCTAATTACAAAGTTTATGAACAGTTAATTTGTTGTTTTTATATTGGTTTCTGTCTGCATTTGTTTTTGGTAAGCCATTTCTTTATAAATGATTTATGTTGATTTCATATTTTCGGAAATAAAAATAAATTAAAAATTGTAATAAAAATATAAAATGGCCTTAAAAATGGTGCCTTTCCTGAATAAAGCAAGACTTTCAAAATTGGCTTCTGGTTGTTTAATTTAATATTTTCATTTAAAACTAGTAATTGATATTCAGAATTTAGATCTTGACACGAGAATTTAAAAGTTGGAATTAATAAAATGCATACTCTATATTTTTCTAGTAATATGGACGATTGTTGGATACGAAATTATTTCGCTGGATATTGTTTTTCGCCCGCTTGATACAATTTTTTAACTGAAAAATCACTATTAAGCTAATCTATTTTATTTTCTATTCAATATTATCAATATAATTAAAAAATAAAAATCAATCATTACAATACATTTTCCAGCAAAGTTCTTTATCCATCAACTCACATATTTTTAATTATCAATTATTTAAAATTATTATTTTATAAATCAACTTAATCATTATATTGATCTCATATCCCATCACAAACTCATCATATTTAGTCCCATTCTTCCACTCCATTATAATTTTTTTTCACTCTTAACTTAATTTATCCAATCAATCAAAATTAACCTACAATACCCCACACCATGTGTTTGTGGTGTAGTGATTAATCTAAATTCACATATTTTGTACGATTTGTATATAAATGGATTAATTTAATTAAGTTAGATTTTGAATATGGATTAGTTTTTTAATAAACAAAGTAACAAACACACACTAAACCAAAAACATCAAGGCAGATTATGGGCTCGAAAAAGATAGTTGTTTTTCCTTTTTAGGTTGATTTTATTGTGTCAAATGAAACACTCTTGAAGACAGCATGCCCATTTGGACCAGGCACACTAAATATTAATGACCTAACATCAGAAAATTCACCATTATTTTCCTGCACAAATTAAAGAATTTTAAGGTCATACCAACACGCAACTCCACTGGATTTTGGACTTTTACAGGCTTCCAAATAATTAATTGCAGTATAAAACTCCATTCTTCAGGACCCACAAAATGGAGTGAGAGTGCTTGGTGTTAATCTAATAGCAAGAAAAACAGTTAGAATATAGTTGAAGGGGGGGCTTGGATACAATTTTTTTTTTTAAAAAAAAAAAAAATCAATCATTTTTAATCAAACCTTTTTTTTAACTTACATGTAACTCAACTTTAATTTAACCCCACTATCATCAGTATTATCAATATAATTAAACAATATCACTCAATCATTCTTACACATTATATCAACTTTAATTTACAACCATTCACATAATTTTAACTAACAATCATTTCACATCATTCATCTCCTATTTTTACATCAAATTAATTTTAATTATTTTATTTTAAATATTATTTTAGGAAATGACTACAGTCCCGTTGACGGAATGGTTCAGTCAATGTTTGTTACCGTAGATTATCTATATAGCATAATGTACATGTGTATCTAATGGTGAAAAACAATGATTGAACCATCCCGTAACGGGACCTTAGCATTTTTCATTATTTTAATATAAACCAGAAATCCACTAACAATTAATCATACCACTTTTTTCGAAATTAACCATACCAAACCAAAAAATCCAAACAAAATCAAAATATTTTTAAAGTTTGTATTTCTATCAAACAAAATAATTTGTAAAAGAACCGTGTTTCAACAATCAAGTGATATCTTTTATTTTTCTTTTTTTTTTCTTATTGATAAATAGAATAAAATAGATGGGAAAAGAAAACAATAAATAGGTGAAAAAAGGGGACAACGCGTCAAACGGAGTGTTAAATCTAGATAAATAAGAAAATAGAGTATGTTCCTAAAAGGTAACGTGACGCGAAATACACAACTCAATAGCAATAGGATCCCAACACCCAAACCATTTATGTTCTACCCCATAATCCAAAAAACAGCACATAAGCACTTTGTGTTATAATTTATTCCGCTCATGAGATTGGAGAAGAACAAAACAAACAAAAACAAAAGTGCGTAGCTGAGTATAATTAGGTGACTGATCGTACAACCTTTCAAAAGGATTGATATCTCAAAGAAATGACGAGGATAATCGATTGATAGCATTAACAGGAGTCAAGGCTGCTTCACCCCAAAAACGATCAGGACATTTAGTAGAAAGGGTAAGATCACGAACAGTATCAAGAATGTGGCGGTGCTTACATTCAACTCGTCCATTTTAATGGGAAGTATAAGGACATAAACGTTGAACTACTATGTGCCAATCATAAAGAAATTTTAAAAAGGTAGAATCAATGTACTCAAGGGCATTATTAGTACGCAAGACCTTTATAGAACAAGAAAATTGTTTGTGAATCATTTTAGCACATTGAATATATATGGTGGGTAACTCAGAATCATTTTTGAGAAAATTGATCCAGGTCCGGTAAAGCTACAGGCTCAATGGTTCACTTGTCTGACTGTGGTCGAACCGGTTGAACTTAATTATATAACTTTTTATTTCCTTTATAGATATAATACATAATTATATATAATTTATTATTACTTCTATGCAATATTTTAATTCTTTTATTATATTTAATATTATAAGATAATATTAAGAAATTATAATTGATTTTTTGTAAAATATAACTAATTCCCATTTATATATTTAGTAATTGAAATCTAGCCCAATTGTTTGGTTATGGAAATAAAGAGAGCCCAGCCCATGAACAACCATAAAAGACGAATTAAACTTTGAGCCGCAATGGAGAACGAATCTTGAAAAGGAGTTAAATAAATAAATCCTCTGCTATTTTGTAGGTCATCTCCCTATCTTATCTCTACTCCATCGAACTTTACACTATTTTGGGATAAAGTGAACCAAAAATTAAGTTTCCTCCCTAACTTTTATCTCTATATTTTATTTTACATTAAATATATTATTTTTTTATTTATTTTTATTCAAATAAATTGATATATATATGTATATTTAATCTTATACAAATGTTTATTACCCAAATAATAAAAATATGTTTGATTATGTTATTATTATTTGTGTATTTTGTGATTTATGTGTATTTTAAACTTTTTGAAATCTACTTGTTTTATTGTGTTAAATTTTTATTCATATGATACCATTTTAATATTACAAAAATTCAAAATAAAGTTATTATATATAAATAAAGAAAAAGCACAAAATTATTTATTGTAAAAAATACATTACACAAAGTTATTTAGCATAAAAAATACATTTACTAACGCACATTATACAAAAATTTATCATTAATATTACATTACAATACATAACAAAATAATAATAATAATAATAATAATAATAATAATAATAATAATAATAATAATAATAATGCAGAGATGCTATGGGTGTGATTGTTTATAAATTCAATTAGTTTTTATTTGGTTTGGTTTTAACTATAGTTAATTTTGAAAAAAAGTGGTATGGTTAGTTGTTAGTTGATATATTAAATTAATAATTAAATAAAATAATTGAAGTTGATTTGATGTAAAGTAGGAGAAAAATGATTGGAAGTGATAGTTAGTTACAATTATGTGATTGAATGAATAGTGAATTAGAGTTGATGTGATGTGTAAGAATTATTGGTTGTATTATTTAATTATATTGATAAAATTGGAGATAGTGGGATTGGGTTAAAGTTGAGTTAAATTTGAGTTTTTTAATTTTTTTTACTGTTGAAACAATATCCAATCGCCCCCTATAGTGTTGCGCCAGATGTTGCGCAACACTGTTGTTGTCTCCAAAGTAGCGCACGCATTTGTCGCAGCGATGGAGCACAATTCAACGCTATAATAGCTCAAATTGAGAGAGATAGAGCAGTGTTGGAGCTGCTCGTAATGCAGATCGGGCGCATCCCTTCATTCTCTCATATTGTTTACCAATATAATTAAATAATATTAAACAATCATCCACACATCACATCAACAAAATTTATTAGAGCATCCACAACCCACATTCTCAAATAACATTCATTCAATCAAAAAGTAAGACATCCACAACATCTCCACATCATCTTTTCACTAAATCTCTCTTCATTTAAACACACGCCGACATTCCTACTCATTCATTTAAATACATATATGGACCCATGATCCACTCATTCAAGATAAATTTCAATATTCTATTCTCAATAAAAATAAAAATTTAATATCTTTAAATTATAATAATAAATTTTAAATGCATGAAAATAAAAGAACACTACAAGACCAAAAT